TTATCATGTTTATCGCACTGAAATCATGCGTTTTAAATCATATTAATTTTCCACATTCTGAATCAGTTTGCTTCATGCAAGTCTAACCAGGAATGGAGTCATAAGTGTGCTTCATTAAAAAATACATTAGCTCTACAAGGCAAACATGCTTGACAACCACTGAAGATTAAGAGAAGAAATATGAAGAAAGAACAACTGATAAGAGTGTGTCTTTCCAAAACCAGGCCAGATCTGTGCTATTTCTGCAAAGAAGAGGTTTTAGGCATTATTTGGTAATGATGGCTTCAGTCCACCAGTGTCATCTCATTTGCTCAATGAAAAAAGGCTTATAATAAAAGCATTAAAAAAGTACTGCTGGAGAAAACCAGGTATGTTTTATTAAAGTATGGAATTTACACTACATTCTTTTATTTTCCAAAAGAAAATTATACTTTTATTCCGCCAGCATGCATTCAGTAGATTGTTTTCCAAACAATGTCAGTTTTCTTGATTTGTTCTGTATTTCTTTTAGTTATAAAAGAAAAACAATATTTTTTTAAATAATACAAATATTTATATAAACCTGCGATTAAAAATATTTCAAAAGATTGGGATCAGTAAGATTTTTTTTTTTAAAGAAATTAATACTTTTAATCATCTAGGACACATTAAATTGATCAATGACAGTAAAAGCATAATGTTACAAAATATTTCTATTTAAAATAAATGCTGTTCTTTTGAACTTTCTGTTCAAGAATCCTGACAAAATAATCTATCACTGTTTCTACAAAAATTGTAGTTGCCTATTTTAAGGATTATTCAGATTTGTAACATTTTCACAATAAACACATTCTTCTAAACATCTCATTACTGTAATAATGGAAAATAATATAAAAATGTGAATAATAAATAAATATACAATTTATAAAATATTAAATAAAAATACATATTATATATGTTATCATTCAAAAGTTTGAGAACAATACGTTTTTATTTATTTTTTTCAGCAAGGGTGCATTACATTGATCAAATGTGACTGTAAAGATATTTATTGCATTACAAAAAAAATTATTTTTTTATCAAAGAATCCTGAAAAATAAAATGTATCACGGTTTCCATAAAAACAGAAATTGGGCAGCACAAGTCTAAAAAAGGCAATTTCAGCATGTCAGCGGAACTTCTTCATGTGAAGATAAAACACCGCCTGCACAAAAGAAAAGCACATATTAGACTTCTTATCTCAGTTGTATTGGTTTACATTGATCCCATGGAACTTTAGGAGAAAGATCTGAGCAACATTTTCCATTTTATGGAAAAGCATCATATCTTTAACATACATGCAGAAATAAAGGCAAATATAGCTGAAACGTTGACCTTGTTTGTCAGCAGGAGTTCTCTTTAGCGCTTTCATCTGCTGCTATAATCCATCACTTTAATGTTGACGTTCTTCCATAATGTTTGTGGACAGTTTTCTGTGAATTAAGGGTATAGAAAAACACACTTGTATGATTTTGAAACCAAAGTTGTATGACAGTGGTTATCGTTCCCTCGTTTATTGTCTAGCCAAGGCAAAGGCGGCGGCTGAGAAGGAAGCCAAGACCAAGAAACCGAAGCCCACCAAAAAACCTAAACCCACCAAGAAACCCAAAGCCTCAAAGCCCACCAAGAAACCAAAGCCTCCAAAACCCACCAAAAAGCCAAAAGCACCGAAGCCCACCACAACACCAAGGACTAGAGCAACTAAACCAAGCAGAAAGCCAACCATGGAGGAAGAGGAGGAGAAACTGCTGCTGGAGCTGGGATGGGACACGTGTATGTTGATGCAATCTTCAACACATTATTCTTTTTCAGAAAATGGTATTGTGGTCTTTTTAAATACAGTTTCTGTGCTCAGTATTTCCAACAGAACCAAAGGAGTAAGAGACTGCGAAACCCTTTGGCCCAGATCATGGTATGACAACAAATACAACACACACAATTTAACAAGCTAACTTTATGAGTTCATTAAATCTTCAGATCTTGAAACCTTTGGAGGTTTTTGCAAACACAGATTCAGAGTGGGCCTAATTATAAGTCATTTGATTGACTTCCTGAGGAGTGTAAACACTGGGGGGAAAAAATCCCACATACTTACATTAAAGAAGGGACCTGAAACCAGAATATCTTGAGAATGCAAAGAAACCACTTAGAAACCTTTAGAATCATTGTGGTGCGGAAATTACAAACTTCACCTTTAATTCCATATGGCCTCATTTAGGCTATAGATGTAACAAAATTAACAGAATTGGGTTGTTGTGTACAGAGCACATTAAGGCTGGAATACATCACATGACTTTTAAAACACTAGGCAAACACTTGGCGACTTTGTAAATGCTTACAAAGGAAAAGAAAAAAACATCATACACTAAAATGTACAACAAACTAACACAAAAACACGCAACTTGTTGCTAGGAGACGCATGACCAACGAAAACTAAATATGTGTTGTAAAATATGTCGCCTCAAAATATAAAACGTGTTTGATATCCTCTGACTGGATGGAATTGTATAGTGGCTATATTATAGCCTGAAGCTTGGAAACCGGAGTCTGTGACCATCATAGGCTACATAACAAGATTTCTGTTATATTGGTCAACTCCGACTGATGAAAATCTGCAGACTGGCTATTGAGGTTCATAAACTTGTGTCGACTAATCGGGGCAAAAACCTGTAGAAAAATCGTATTCTAGTCTTTTAGCTGCTGTTTTCTCATCAATACACTGCTATTCATAATCTTTCACTTTGGTTATCTCTCTTTTTTTACCTTATAGTAGACGTCCACAATAAGAAAGATGCCATTACACCACCTTCATTCAAAGAACACGACCCAGCTTACTGGGACGCCCGACGTACATTTGAAGCGGCACACATACACTCTTAAAAAGGTTCTTTATTGGCATCCTCCATAAGGAACATTTAACATCCATTGAACTTTTCCAATGCACTAGAACAGGTGTCAAACTCAATTCCTGGAGCCCTGCAGAGTTTAGATTCAACCCTAAACACAGCTGATCCAAAGTCCTTCAGGTTTATTTGAAAACTACATGGTATGTGTGATGGAGCAGGATTGTAACAAAACTCTGCAGGGCTCCGGCCCTCTAGGAATTGAGTTTGATACCCCTGCACTAGACCTTATGCGTCAGAGAAACAAGTGCGCAGCCATCTTTAAAATCCTGTCTTTGAACTTCTGTTTTTTTGTGGTATAGCGTCACCGTTTAGTAATTAGCTGGTGAAGTGGATTTACTTATGAACAAAAGTTATCATGTGCATTGTAAAGTTTGAAGCAGATGTCAGTAGACTGGGCAGATTTTAAAACAAACAGTTAATTTATAACTTCGTACGACCTTATACATGCTGTGTAAATACAAATGGAAGACAACGTGCGCAGCGCTGAAAAGGGGCAAAGCTACATAAGGTCTACATAAGTGGAAAAAGGTTCTTTAGATTATTAAAATGTTCTTCACAATAAGAAAAAAATTTCTTTTATAAGAATTTCACTTGAGGTTTCTTTGTGGAACCAAAGGGGTTCTTCTGACATCACTGTGAAAACCCCCTTCTGGATCATTTATTTTTAAGAATGTAGAATCAGATTATCAAAATACTACTATAATAATAAACTTTTATCACCTGACAGAGGAAGTTCCAGAGCCTGAGCTCATCCCTAAAGTCAAGGAGCCACTGATGACCCAAGTATATACTTACCAATCCCAGGTAATCAAGGGGCAATGTACATTCGAAAAGTCTGGGCAAGATGATACTTGTAACAAAAACAAAAAAGGGCCACATAACAAGTTTAAAACTCCTCCAAACACCTTATCATGGTGTGGAGTTTTGCACCCCGCAAACATCACTCACATTTTATTCAGACAAAATAAAAAGCTGATTTTACATGCAATTTCGTTTATGCACTAATGTGAGAATGCAAAAACAACATGAGCAGGAAATGCAATGCAAATAAATAGCATGTTAAGTTCTCTTTCACTCACATTTGTCAAATTAATGTCTTTTTCCCCTCTAGAGGAATCCACTACCACTCCTCGAACAGTTGCCCCTTGGTATGAGGAATACAATTATTCTGACTGTACGTTTGCACCATTTCAATCTTTTATATTTAATCGGCTCTATCAAACAGCTTGAATCTGTCTGTTTTGAATGTTTAGTATATTTTATTTTTATCCTAATTTGCTCTCTCTGAAAATTCAGTGGCAGCAAAGAAGCTGGAGGAAGAGCTGGAAAAAGCAAGAAAGGCCAAAGAGGAGAAGGGTGTGTAAATATCAATGTAATGTTTGTTCAAATGAAAGAGAATGTGCTTTTATTGCATGCATTCTGTAGGTTGGCCAGCTTTTGGGTGGTCTGCAGTAAATGAGATGTAGTGAAAAATGCCTTTTGATTTATTAATTAGAAAGCATTTAGCTGTTCTGTTCGTATTTTTGTGAAAGATTTACTATGACCAAAAAAAACACAAAAAAAACAGCAAAGCAAGACTATGAAAATGAAAATAATGCAAAACATTTTTCAGTTTTTTTAATGCTTTTTGTTTTGATTTTAGGTGAAATCCCATAAATGTTCTTGACAGACTTTGTAAGATTCACCCAATTATATGATAATTATAAGCAGGATATTCATAAAAAGATGGAAAATTATGAAATAGCCATAAATTACAAACTAATCAAGTGCAGGTTTTTTTATTATTATTAAAACTAGACCAAAATATGTGTTTTTTTTATAGCACATTTAGAGCTGTGCTGGCATTTATTGAATAGATTTATTATGAAACAAGGCTACAATAACCTGTTTCAACTATTTCAAGTCTCAGTCTCTCCATTCCCTCACACAGCGGAAAAACTACGGAAGATGTGGGAAGAGGAGGAGGAGGAGAAGAGAAAGCAGATGGTTCCTCATGCCGAGCCAAAGAGTGAGTATTTCTGGAAAACAGCCACAAATCACATTATAATCAGAGGAGAAACACACGGCCTCTTATAGAAGTGGCTGTTTGTGAGCGCAGAATTGATATTCAGTGAGTTCAGTGAACAAACTCTTGAGCTGAAGGCAGTAAATGTCAGAGCTGAGCCCCACAAAGATTTTGGTTTCCAGCTGGAATTCGGCTTTTTCAACTCAGACTGGCTAGAACTGCTGCTGGCTCCAGCTTCAGCCTTTGTTCAGCACAAATGGTTTTCCTGTGTAAAAAAATGAAGGGCAGCCGCAATGTCCAAAATACAACTGCTCAGAGAGCGCTGTCAGTGCGCTTATCACAGGCTATAAAGGGATAGTTCACCCAAAAATGAAAATGTGATGTTTATCTGCTTACCCCCAGGGCATCCAAGATGTAGGTGACTTTGTTTCTTCAGTAGAACACATTTGATGATTTTTAACTCCAGCCATTGCAGTCTGTCAGTCGTATAATGCATAGCAATGGTAACAAAATCTATGAGAGTAAAAAAAACATGCACAGACAAATCCAAATTAAACCCTGTGGCTCGTGACGACACATTGATGTCCTAAGACACGAAACGATCGGTTTGTGCCAGAAACCGCTGGATATCAACACACCCATTAACGTAAACTACGCCAGAGCGCGTACACACCTCACCCACCGGATGCCGTGTGCGCCCAAAGACAGTTGGACATAGTGGTGTATTAGAGGTAAAAAATTATATAAATACTGTTTGGTTTCTAGCACAAACCGATCGTTTCGTGTCTTAGGACATCAATGTGTCGTCTCGAGCCGCAGGGTTTAATTTGGATTTGTCTGTGCATGTTTTTTTTACTCTCATAGATTTTGTTACCATTGCCATGCATTATACGACTGATAGACTGCAACGGCTGGAGTTAAAAATCATAATTTGTGTTCTACTGAAGAAACAAAGTCACCTACATATTGGATGCCCTGGGGGTAAGCAGATAAACATCACATTTTCATTTTTGGGTGAACTATCCCTTTAAGAAATAATGATACAGTATTTCCTGTCTGTCAGAGTGTCCTTCTCTTGGCATGGAGTCTCATCGAGTGGAGGACGATCAGATACTGGCATCTTCTATGTCTCATCATGGTCATTCAGCCCTGAGAGGACGTCTGAACATGCAGGTACACACACAATCAAACCACATTAGTTTCACAATAATTCAGATATTGCGTATTGTGAATAGGATCATAGCTGTGCCACATAAAATAGAGCAAATATGCTTGATTATTATTACAGTGCTTTATTACTGTAAATAAATACAATTGTACCTTAGTATTTTTTGTCTTGTTTTCCCGTACAAATATCTAAACATTCTTAAATTAAGATACATTTATCTGAGAGCTAATATCATTTATCAAAGCAAAATAATAAATAAATGAATAAACAAATAAATAAAATTAAGTGAGCTTAAAACAAGAACAAATATCAGCCAGTGGAGTCAGAAAAATAAACTTAAATCATAATAAACAAGTTTATTTTTCTTACCCCAGTAGCAGTTATTTTGTCTTGTTTTGTACTACTTAGAATTTTCAAAGTGTTCAAATCAAATCAATGCCTAAATCAGCAAATGTTGTCCACAAATATTGGAGTTAAAATGAGCTAAAAGAAGAATATAAGAAGATTAAAGAGAAATTTAAGCTGTTTAATTTAAACTAATCTAATCATGTGAACTGTAAAACACTAAAAAAGCTTAAACCAGCCTATGATGTTCTGCTGATATTTTTAAAGATGATTTAGCTGGTCAGCAAGCTTGGCTTTGAAACTATTTTCAAGTTTGTAATTAAAATTGAAATTTTGTATATTTTTTACAGTTTCCCAGTCTAAATCATCAAACCAGATCAGTCTGACTAGTGGAAACCAGCTTGGTGAACCACTAAGACATGCAAACCAGGCGTTTGTGGTTTTTAAATTAATAATTCAATCATACATTTAAACGAAAAACAGATTATTTCCAAATTGACTAAAGTACTTCTGAGTACTTGCAGCTAAGTAAGACATATTGAGCTGTGCTGCTCATGTGAGCAATGCAAGTTCAAGTCTGGCTTGCGTCATTTTCTGATCTCCCCTACCCATAACTTAAGGGAATATCTGTATATGAATGCATGAAAAAATTTAGATTTTGAAGTGAGCACCTGTTTTCCAGAGTTCAGCTGACAAGGACGACGTTTACGGTGGTGCATGGTGTGCTGATACGGAGGAGAAGGAGCACTGGTTTCAGGTGAACGCCCGTCGAGAGGTGGAGTTCACTGGCGTCATCACGCAGGGTAGGAGCTCGGATACACAGTAAGACATAGATCAAATCATTTGGACTCTTTCTGATAACAAGAAAGACAAGAAGACACCTAAACTGGCAAATCCTCCTCTCTTCCAGTGATGACTTTGTGTCGTCGTATTTCGTGGCCTTCAGTAACGACAGCCGTGATGCTGAGTGGGTCAGTTCACATATGCTAAAACGGCATAAAATATTTTATAGTCAGGCATCATGCATACAAAGAACATATGTGACCCTGGAGCACAAAAGCAGTGTTAAGTCGCTGGGGGATATTTGTAGCAATAGCCAAAAATACATTGTATGGGTCAAAATTATAGATGTTCTTTTATGCCAAAAATCATTAGGATATTAAGTAAAGATCATGTTCCATTAAGATATTTTTTAAATTTCCTACCATAAACATATCAAAACTTAATGTTTGATTAGTAATATGCATTGCTAAGAACTTCATTTGGACAACTTTAAAGATGATTTTCTCCATATTTTGATTTTTTTTGCACCCTCAGATTCCAGATTTTCAAATAGTTGTATCTTGGCCAAATATTGTCCTATCCTAACAAACCATGCATCTTATTTATTCAGCTTTCAGATGATGTATAAATCTCAATTTCAAAAAATTGACCCTTATGACTGGTTTTGTGCACCAGGGTCACATTTTGAGATTTTCCTATTTTTTTGTAAAATCCTGTTGTTTCTTTACCGCACAGCTCTTTTATGGGAATGTGGATAAAGACACTCCAGTAATGACAGAGTTCTCATATCCGGTTGTGGCGCGTTACATCTGTATACTCCCACAGAGCTGGAACGGCAGCCTGTGTATGAGGCTGGAGGTGCTCGGCTGCCCGTTACCCAGTAAGCACTGCAGCTCTCACCTGAGTGTGACAGATTACTCATTAGTTTTGATGTAATGCTATGAAACACATTTACATTATATTAATCCTAATTATGAGATAAAAAGTCTAAATTGGAATACTAAATCATAACTATGAGATAAATTTAAATGACATACTAATGACATTAATTCATAATTATAAGATAAAAAGTCCTAATTATGAGATAAGTCATTATAAATCATGTTTTAAATCATCATCATCAATTTTTTTTTAAATGTTGTTTTTTCTTGGTTATGCGAATGTTAATGGGACATTGCTTGTTATCATTTTGCAAACATAATGGAATGTTACTTTGGAAACATTCTGAAACAAGTAGTAACATTTAAAAAAACGTTAGATGAATGTCCAATTAAAACGTTTGAGAAAAACATTTTGTGCTGACGTTGACGAAAACGTTGAACTAACATTCTATTAATGTTAACTTTAACTTTGAGAGAACATTACCACAACTTAAAGAGTTTCCAGAGTACTTTCATAACATTTATTCTTATTGTGGATGATTTATCAGTGCATAGAGGACAGAAAATTCCATCATAATCTTTAATCAAAAAAATCAAAATAACTTACTCCCCGCCTCTGGAACGCCTTTTCTTTTCTGATGACGTCACAAATCCCTCTTCGTTTTTAAGCCCTCCAACCACCTGACTCCATTTTTCCCATGCTGCGTTGTTATAAATATGTCATATTTGGATATTGCATGAAATATTGATTATTATAGATAGTGATGGGAGAAACTAAGCTCATCAAAACTTTGAATCAAAATGTTTGATTCACTGTTTCGAAGCACCTGCTGGTCAGAATGGTGTAAATGCAACAAACACAGCCCCAACCATGTATAAAAACACCTTTTACAAACCAATTACAAATTGGAAAGTGCCCATCACTAATTATAAGACACTGTGTTAATATAATTCCTCTATAGGTCTGCATAAATATTGACAGATCCAGTAGAGGCATGTAAAAAAATCTTCTCTCCGCTTTCAAAATTTCACTTTTCTGTGTTGCTTTAGGCATGAATGACTTCAGCTACCTGCACACCAACTGCTTTGAGATTTCCATCTTTCTTGGGTGCGATAAGTTTCCCGCATGAGAGTGAATTGGCGTTGGAGTGGGAAAACAACCGAGAGGCTCTGCTGGCTTTCATTGAGCAGGTAAATCACATGTCTGTGTGACATAGTGGCCGAAACTCTAATTTAGAAAGTGGACGGATGCAGAATTTCTATTTCCAGATAAAATGAACATTGTAAAACAGCGACAAAGCCTCAAAAAGTGTTGAGGACTCACATGTGACTCACAGGTGCATCGAGGCATTAAAGGAGTTGTGAGAGACGTCGATGGGAATCTTCTAGCAAATGCCACAGTGTCAGTGGAGGAAATCAAACATGACGTCAAAACAGGTAACAGACTTTCTGTCATTTTAATAGGGCTTAGTAGACTAATTCATATTGAAGCCTGTTTTTCCACCATAGAATAAAAAAATTAAAAGGTGATCAAAGTTATGTCATAATGTTGACTTTATTTCTCACTGTTATGTGTTTAAATCTCATAATTTTGGGTTAACATCTCACTATTCTGACTTTTTTTCCCCTTTGCATCTTGTAATTCTGACTTTATTATATTTTTATTATTTAATTTCATATTATAATTTTTTTTATTTATTATCATTCTTATATATTTATCTGCAAACTCAGGATTATGAGAAAAAAGTCAGAAATTCTATATATACAAACTTGGAATTATGACTTTATTTTCTCTCTTTCGCAATTTCAGATTTATACCTCACAATTTTGGAATTCTCAGAATTCAGACTTTTCTTCTTTAAATTGCAAGTTTATATCAGAAATGACTTTATATCTCACAATTTAGAATTTTTATTATATTATTTCATGTATTATTATTTGTCAGGGGTTCGGCTGAGAAAAAAGTTTGGGAATCTCTGTTTTAATGTGACATAACTTCGTGTAGTATGTTACATTACTGACTGGTTACCAACACACCTGTAAACACCAACAACTGCATCAACGTCGAGAGCACAGGGGCCACCGCGGGCCCCCAGAGCGAACGTCTGCGCCGTCTGCGACTGATGCGCATGCTGAAGCTGCGAATGGAGAGGATGAGAGGCAGCGCGACCACAACAACAACTACGACAACCACACTTCCACCCACCACAACAGCAACCTCAACTACAGACCCCTGGTTTGACCTGTGGTTTGAACTGGACAATGCAACCACTCAGGACTATAACTTTGAGTACAGAATAGATGTGTGAAATGTGTGGAATATTGCCCTCTTTAAGTTTTAAGTGTTCAGGCTCACACATCACACTCTCTGTGGAACAGAGTATAAAAGACAGAAATACCATTCTAATTTAATTCAAGGGGTCTTATGTGAATAGTCACGAGAATGAGGTATTACTATTGAATGATGCAAAAAAAGTGCTATTTCTGAGCTGTCCTCAAATATCATGCATGTGTACACGAATATTATAATGTGCACATATTTTCTAATAAAAGGTCTCAATATCATTGTGTTTTTGACTTTAGTGTTATGCATAATCAGTCAAAAAAGCCTCTATGATTTTATGTACATGTAAGCCCCTGGGTCCTATACGCACCATACTACTGGCTTAGCTCGCTAGTTTAATGAGATTGACTGAAATAATCGAAACAAGTATAATGTTTATAATATCCACATCTCCATTCCAAAGATAATTGCTTTCCACGTCGAAGACATCCGACACAAACCTACAAACATATTCAGGTGAGGTAACCAGTTTACTGCTAACTAGTGAAACGCTCCATTAATATGACGAGCTGCAGCTCAAAATGCGTGTTAGATGGAAACATTGTGCATTATGATCGAGTTTGTAGTTTAATTAACTATATTTTAGTTGGTGACAGTTCAATAGGGAATCAGTTGAAACCATCCAGTTATCTTACACCATTGAAGTGAATGTTATCAGTGTATATTGTAATAGAAATTTGAGATTGAAATGCCGTTTTCTGCCCGCTTGCAAGTTTCTGAAAAAAAAAATCCTCGGATAGTTGTGAGCTGATTAACTTAAATACCTTCAGCAAACGTGGACTATCCTGGATGCCAATGATATTATAATCCCTAATACAAAACATATCGTATAATAGCACTCCAGAGACACCGTTGTCAGTTTAGACAAATAACGTTAAATAAAAGTCTGATCTGTTTAGATTAGCTGTTAGCCGATTAGCTTCAGTCTTGGCTGTTTTACGCACAGCAGGTAAGAATGACAATTCATTATCTTTATAAACAGTGTCACATTTCACATGTCACATTATTGAACCCGTTTATGAAAGATTAAGCTTAAGAACGAGGTGTATTTTTATTCATTTTGTTAATAAAAGTTCTATGTTTTATAAATAGACTAAAGTGAGTTTGACGTTGTGTTTAGTTGTTGCATTCAAGCAATTGACGCTGAATTGCCGCTAATGAAAGTAAAATGTGCACGGCGCTTTTAAGCTATTAAAAAGCGAGGGGAAAAAGGGAAAATTCAAATGAACTAAAAACGAACCATTGCTTTACGCCGAATTGCCGTAGACTGGCCTTCTGGTTCTCCGGCGACCATTCAGTACACAGCACTGGACAGCCATCTGGCCAGATACCAGGTACGTTATGCTCACTAATAGAGAAACTGCAAGAAAAGCCGTGTAGTGGAACATCAGCATTGTTATACAAGGGTTTTAAGGGCACTTGATTAGTAAACACAACACATTCCATCACCCGTAACAGTTTTAGTATTTCCTGTTTTACAGAATCCACGGGAGGCTGACGCTATGACCAAAGTGCAAGCAGAACTGGATGAAACCAAAATTATTTTGGTGAGCAAATAATGATGTGAACAGTGTGTATTAAAATTCACAGTTTTTGATTGTTACAATCATCTGTTCCACCTACATTGATATTCAGTATGCAGGGTGTGTAAGTGTGCTGTCGTTATACACATATTAGAGTTTGTTTGTCTTTAATGCGCTGGCATTTGTATGTAATTTAATATGTGTTTCTCCAGCACAACACAATGGAGTCGCTGCTGGAGAGAGGAGAGAAGCTGGATGATTTAGTTCAGAAATCTGAGCATCTGGGAAACCAATCAAAAGCCTTTTATAAAACGGTCAGTACTCTACATACATATGAAACATGGCAACAGAAATTGCAATTTATTATTATGTCAATACTCTTGTACATTTTAAAGCTTCGTTAGTGGTGGTTTCTAAAACCACTTATTATTGCTCATATTTATAGCTAGTGAAGTATTAAAGGGGTCATGAACTGGCTTTTTTTTTTGTTAATTTGTACTGTTGTCTGAGGTCCACTTATGACATTTGTGTGGTTTTTACATTCAGAAACATCAAAATCAATAAGTAATAGGCTATTTTCTACCCTGGTTTTGAGGCCGGCTGGAGAAACGCTGGTAACACTCAGAAGTAAACGCCCACTGCTGTGATTGGATAACAGTTCTGCATAGTAAACCAACTTTCTGTGTGTCTGTTTGACAAGCTACCGACATGTTGGAGCCTTCTGTGACTTCAGTTAGACACATACACATAATCAAGACATATCAAGCGATCTCTAACAAAGCTATAGTGACATACAGTACAAATATTTTTTTACTCGCATAAGTGTGCTGCGCCATTCCTGTTGCATCCAATATAGATGCACAGCCTTGCTTTTTAATCTCAGTCTCTCTGCAAATCCAGAGTCGACTGTGTCTCGTTTACAAAGGAGTCCGCGGTGAAAAGAAGCGAACAAACACTCAATGTTTTACTCGCGTGAGCTGCAACTTCATTAAAAATAAAGTTCATCCACGCATTCCTAATATTTGAATCCGAAGGAAGGTTATGCAGCGACTGTGTTCTTCCAGGCACTGCACAATATTCTGCGATCTTTAACGGCATGTTTATTGCTTGGTTGCTCGATCTGGTTTAGCGCCACTTATGTTATTTCCCTACAATGACATGTGCGAATTAGTGGGCGGGGCTACTTAATTATGTGTTGATATTCTTCTGTGGAGGCGGAGTTTAACCGATCTATTACGTCATTGAATCCAGAATCTGGCGTTCGCTGGGCCTGGTGTCATTAAAAGCTTTTATTTCAGTAACAAGGACGTTTTCAGTTCTGAAACTTACAAGATATTATTTTAGTACGATGACCTCTTACATATTAAAAAATGCTCAAGTAAAAGTTGATTTCTCAATTCATGACCCCTTTAAACCTATCAGCTACCTTAAGTCAAGACACCCCAAATACTGAGAAAGTTGCCAGTGTGAATAGGCAACTGCTCACATCTTCTTCAGGAGATCTGATGTAATGTTGATGTTTTTATGTTCTAGGCACGCAAGCAGAACTCGTGCTGCGAGATCATGTGATCGCGAGGAAGTCTTTGATTGGACTGGACTCTTCGATCACCTCTCCTCTCTGGTTTTCAATTTTTTTCCCTCTCTTTCTCTCTGTCCTGGTGTGGGCTGGTGCTTTTATCAAGCAGCAGTCATAGCGAATGCACGAGAGGGCCGATCCGACGGTATACAATAACGGGCTCAGAGGGGGCTGATTTCCCATGATGCACCACACTTACTCTGCCATCGGTTTTCATGTTGTGTGAGAACTTTGTTTTCTTCTTGACGGTTCCTCAGGGTCTGGCACAAGCTCAAAACGGATCCGGATAAAAGCATGGAGGGGCTCGAGTCAAACGTCCCCGCTGTGCCTTACTGTAGACGCAGGAGTGTTGTTATCAAACTGTTGAATTAGCCTTATCAACGGAGGACGTGCGAGTGAAAATGCTGCAATCTCTATATTTAGACTCAATATTCGGCTTTGGCAGTTTTGAAGCGCCTTGTAAAGTGAACATGTAGCGTGAATTTTTTTAAAATGTGAAAACAGTAAATAATGTGTTAATTATTGATGTTCATAACGTTCGGATCCTCAATATTGTGTGTAAGTGACTGACCAAATTAAATGTTTGTGTACAATTCTAATGCTTTTGTCTCTTGAAAATGTAAATAAATTACTGAATGGTATTGGCATTGGTTCCCTGCATCATGAGTTATTGCAATTTGGTTTTTTATACTTGAGAAACATTCCTACAATATGTTCAGTTGGTGGTTGATAACGAACATGTGTTGTGATGTTAGAGAGTAATAATAAATAATAAAGCCTCAAAGTGTGGTTTAGTGTGAAATCAGCCCCCTTAATCCTCGTGCAATGGTTGTGAGTGTAAATCACGTGTTAGTGATTGTGTTTGATCACATGACTCTCGCTGGACCTCTCAAATGCTGTATCCGATCTAATGATGCTTTGCTGTTAACAGCCTGAAGGCTTGACTCGTGAGTCCTGGTTTCAAGTTCATGTGCTTTTTCTCTTTCTGTAAAGCTTAAATCTACATGCACGAAAGGTTGGGTAAAGCCAGCAGTATCTGGGTGAACCAGTCAAGAACATGTCTGGGTTTTATTTCATCCCAAAGTCAGAAGACTGACAAACAAAATCTATTTTGTTTAAAGAAAATCTCATTTCAGACTATTTATGTTTTTTGCATTTTGACAATTAAAATGTTCAATTTTCCCCCAATTTGTAATATTGACATTTTCTCACCGAATTGTCATGAGAATTAAATGTTCTTATTTGTGAAGAATAAATAATGAATGCATTCTTTTAACAATAATAATTTTAAAAAAATTATATTTTGTTTTGATTTTGAAAATCTCATAACTAGGACCATTTATATTTTTGCATTTTGACAATTAAGAACAATTTCCCCCAATTTGTGATATTAATGACATTTTTGTACTGATTTCTCATGAGAATTAAATGTTATTTGTAAAAAGAGAAAAAAATAAGTTAAAAGTAGGGTACGTATTTTTTCAAAAATGCTTTAGAAAACCGAGTCGCAAAACAAACTTCTAGCCAATCAGCAGTAAGGGGCGTGTCTACTCATGATGCGGAGGAGAGAGCGCTCAGTGCACAGGACGGACATTAGCCGAGCCGAGCGACAGAATGATAGAGATGGCGGATAAAAAAACAAAACAAAAGAGGGATTAAGGCAAGAAGTAGAACCCGTGTAAATATCGGATTAGCTTTCCAGCGCTGGAGAGAACTCAAGGAGCGGAGGTCTGCGATCGAACGCCGAGGTTGCTTTGTTTCTTCTCGATAGGTGAATAAGTGTCTAACACCGTGTCTACACCGGACAGTTGTCACGCCGCGCCGCAATAGCTAAAGTCTGTCTACACTGGACGCGATAAAGCAACCGCTGAAAATCATTTGAAATTTGTGTCAATATGTCATAAATAGAACGCAGCAGCAGTTTTCTGTCGGGGATTTGTCGTGTCGTGCCGCACAGCATCCAGTGTAGGCCATAAATATGTATATTTATGGTGTAGACAGCATCACTGATTATAATGAGTTCTATAGTATTTTGTTGCGCCTTGCCACTCGCGTCCGGTGTAGACACGGTGTAACATTGGTTTTGCTTTGTTTCACAGAACTAATCGTTGCCTGGGTTGCGTACGTATATGTGGGGTGGAGCTATCAAAATAGGGGTGAGACCCTTTTAGGGGAGGGGCGTGTTTGTTTTGGTAATTTGAAATATCAACATTGGCTACCAGAAATCACTTACCCTACCTTTAATAGTAGGTTTTTAAAAAAATGTTATGCTATTTTGCTTTGATTTTGAAAATCCCATAATTAGGACCTTTTATATTTTTGCATTTTGACAATTAAGAACAGTTTTCCCCAAATTTCTCCTAATTCTTGATATTAAAGACATTTTCTCACTAAATTTTCATTATAATAACATTTTCTAATTTCTAAAAAAAAAATTGTTGATGCATTCTTTCAACAATAAATAGTAGAATCTTTGTACATTTGAAATTGTATTTTGCTTTGTTTTTGAAAATCTCATAATTAACACCATTTATATTTTGCCATTCTGACAATTAAGAACAATTTGTCGAAATTTCCTCCAATTTGTGATATTAACATTTTCTTTTAACAATAATTAAATAGTAGGATTTAAATCTCATAAGGACACATTATATTTTGGTATTTTGACAATTGAGAACAAATTTCCCACAATCATAATGGCAAAAAAAAAGGGTACTGGAAAAATATGTAAATTGTAAAGTACTTAATATACTATGATATTTATTATACTGCCTTTATGCTTATGAAAATGAAAAATACCTCTTTATACAGTAAAACAATAATGTATTACAGTTATGAATAAAAATGTAAAAGTCTGGAAAATGTCTTGCTGTAATGAGAATTTGGGGGTAAAATATGCTTAATTGTCATGAAAATAATGTCTTAAAATATGCTTTATTTTCTTTAAGAAAAATAGTTTTCTTAGCTTTTTTGGGGTGAAATATGACCCAAACATGTTTTTTGTGGGATTCACTCATCGTGTCTGTCCCAGCCGGCACGAGAGGAAGGTTTTGTGTGATTGCCGTGTTGAACTGGAGAATCTGCACATCTTAAACTCATCACTGACATGTTCAGACACTAAAGTTGTGCTTTTTATACGTCAGTAGAGATGGACTGAGAGTGTTGTGTGTGTAGACGTTTATGTTCAGCTGAGGTTCTTCAGCACAGGAAACATGACAGTGTTATATTCATATCTAAATGAGTGTGTGTTCGATCTGTGTGCATCTGGCCTCAGCAATGTACAAGTTACACTTCACGTGTACGGCTAACTAACTAACCAACTGCTGATTACTATTGGTAGTGTGAGACCATTTGAGGTGCCTTTTTCTGGTAATTGCCAAATCATTGCCGGCTCATTTTAGAAGAGCACAAGCATTTAGTGATGTTTCAGACTAGTTGTTCCCCTCACATACTCTTTAATTGTACTAAAATTTAATATGTTGATTAATAAATATTTGGCATTAACAAAACATGCCTTTCATTGATTTTTAACCAATAACCTGCACCATGTGATCAAATGAGTAGTTGATGTCAAAATCAAATTACAGCTGCAGAATCGATCAATCTCTGCATTTTATACAGATATAAAAGCATTTTGTCAAAAGGTTTATATTAGCTGACAAACTACTCAACTGTTAATAAGAATAAAATACAATTCATTTATGAAATATGCTAGGGTGAAATATGTTAGGATAGCTTCAAATTAAGACTAAGCAGTGACCTTGAAATTTAGGAAATTGTAAGTTGTTCTCTAATTTTGATCTCCACCGTATTAATTTAACAATTAATGTACTGAAAAAAGTTTATTTTTCCTATTTTGGAAATGTTTCCTATTTTGAGGACTTTTAAGATTTTTTTGCAGTGATATTTTAATTTTCTCCCTGAATTCTTATGAGAACTAAATGTTCTCATTTGTGAGTGACCCTGGAGCACAAAACCATCTTAAGGGTCAATTTTTCGAAATTGAGATGTATACATCATCTGAAATCTGAATAAATAAGCTTTCCATGGATGTATGGTTTGTTAGGATAGGACAATATTTGGTCGAGATACAACTATTTGAAAATCTGGAATCTGAGGGTGCAAAAAAATCTAAATATTGAGAAAATCATCTTTAAAGTTGTCCAAATGAAGTTCTTAGCAATGCATATTACTAATCAAACATTAAGTTTTGATATATTTACGGTAGGAAATGTACAAAATATCTTCATAGAACATGATCTTTACTTAATATCCTAATGATTTTTGGCATAAAAGAAAAATCGATAATTTTGACCCATACAATGTATTGTTGGCTATTGCTACAAATATCCCCCAGCGACTTAACACTGCTTTTGTGCTCCTGGGTCACATTTTTAAAAAAAAAAAAAAAAACATGTTGATGCATTCTTTTGACAATAATTAAATTATTGGATTTATGTAATTATATAGTATTTTAATAAAACAAAAAATAATACATTTGTTAATTGTGCAATTTTGTGGGCTAAATGAGCTGAAAACATGTTTAAGCACCTAACCTTTATAAACAAAATCAGAACAAGAGACTTTATGAAGCAGAGTGTTAGTATTAATGAAACACAATATTACATGTTCAATATTCATCAAAATCATTTCACACATGCAGTGAGACAGGTGTCCTCGTGCACGTCTGATTCTGAAGGACTTTATAATCTGGACTGTGTCGTTCAGGATGACAGTCACGGTTCAAAGCGTCCAGACGTCAAGATTTCCTCAACATCCCAATCCAGTCCCCGTGTCTCTCAGACTCTTATACTGTTAGGACTTTCCAGCCTTCTTTTCACGCTTCTTCCTCGTGTAGCGAAAACTCTTCAGTGGATTTTTGCCTCTGGAATTCTTCTGCAAACACAACACAAATAAAAACAGCATTCATTCAGAGCGCCATCAGAGGATCTGTTTTTATTGTTAACTAAAACCATAAAAATGACTTGTAATAAACGTTAACTGGAATAAAATATATAAAAACTTCTCATTTTTGTTTAAAGTTTAAGTACTAAAATAATAAATAAACTAGAATAAAAATTAATAAATACAAACTAATATAAATGACAGCACAACAAAATTAATAAAACTAACTAAATATTTAAATTATTTTATTGATTTCTCATTTTTGTTTAAAGCTGAAGTACTAAAATAATATAATAATAAACTAGAATAAAAATGAATACATACAAACTAATATAAATGACAACACAACAATAATTAATAAAACTAACTAAATATTTAAATTATTTTATTGAGTTCTCATTTTTGTTTAAAGTTGAATTACTAAAATAATATAATAAATAATAATAATATAATGATAAATAAACTAGAATAAAAATTTATAAATACAAACTAATATAAATGACAACACAACAAAATTAATACAATTTTCAAATAAAAGTGAAAACAGAAAATACAAAAAAAACCCTAATTCAATAATAACAAAAAACACTACATCAATAATACTAAAATCACATTGCTGCTCAACTCTATTAATATTAACCAATATGCCATTATTATATCAATATGAAGATAAAATGCTGAACAAAACTTATTTTTAAAATTTTAAAGTAAATTAACGATTTGCATTCTAACCTTAAAGCTAGTCAAGATCAATCTTAGCTAGTCTATAAAATAAAAAATATAATTTTAAAACATTTAAATTAAGCTGAAATAAAATAAAATATAAAAATTACATGAAAACTTAAAACTAGAATGAAAACTAAAATTGATTAAAAAAAATCTATTACAAAACATTACAATTTACGGTTATAAAAAAATTACGTAACAAATGAGTAAATGACGGATCTCACCTTAAAGCTGCTCAGCATCACGCCGCCTGCTTTATTCTTCTTTTTCTTCCGTCGTTTCAGAGGATTGACGAGACTTTTCAGCGCCGTCGGGACTGAAACAGACATGAAAATGCGTTTTAACTAGGGATGTAACGATTCACTCAACTCACGATTCGATTCACAATTTTTTTTTTAACAAAATGAGATTTAAGACAAATT